CCTATGGAGGCCAGAAAAAAGGTGTCAGATCCCTTGGAATTGTGGTTACAGCCAGTTGTGAGCTGCCATGTGGGTGCTGGGAACTGAACCTTAGGTCTCCTGGAAGAACAGCCAGTGCTTTTAACTGCTAAGCCATCTCTCTGGCCCCATTTCTAATTTCTTAAATTACTGTAAATGGTACTAAATTAATATTAGCTCTACTATTTTTAAATTTGTTGATGACAATTTTTAATGTTTTGACAAAGTTTTGAAAAGCATTTACCTTTATTTACTTGTTGGGAGGAGAATGTGTGTACCATAGCACACATATGGAAGTCAGCACAGATTGAGAGTGAACATTCTTTTCTTTCAACATGTGGATCCCAGCCATTGAATTCAGGTTTCAGGCTTGGTGGCAAGTACTTTTACCTGTAGAGCCATAATGCTAGCCATGCTTTGGCAATAAACAAACAAATAAAATTTATTTATTTTTGAGGCAGGGTCTCACTATGTAGATCAGGCTGTCTCTGAACTCACCAGATCTACCTACCTTTGCCTCCTAAGTGCCCCACCATGCCCCACTTTGACAAAACGTTTCAACTGACTTAGAAAACACCTGTAATTTTTCCCATGACTTAAAAAGTAAATTTCTTTTCTTCCTGTCTATCTGTTAGGCAGGGTATGTACCTTCTGTATTCTCATGTTTTTATGAAAACATCAAAAATGTTTGATTTTGCTTTTTGTTTTTGTTTTTTTTTTCCCTTTGGTTTTTCAAGACAGGGTTTCTCTATTAACAGCTCTGGTTGTCCTGGAACTCTCTTGGTAGACCAAGCTGGCCTCAAACTCACAGAAATTCACCTGCCTCTGCCTTCCAAATGCTGGGACCAAAGTCATGTGCTACCACTGCATGGTGTGAGAACATCAAAAATGTAAATAGGGAAGCAGTTATGAACAATGTTTACAGTTGTGTGCATTCAGAGTACTAGCAGGCATTAGAAAGCTCTGTGTCGAGAAAAAGATACTCTAAATGGAGTTAGTAAAACAGATGCAGAGTGATGTATGTGTGTTTGAATGAATGTACTTATGTATACTTCCCATGCATATTTGTTTTACATGAATTACTTATTCTAAGAATAATGCACAAGAAACTTGTAAAAAGTAATTACGTTAGCAGGAGCCTGAGACCTCTTAAAATATGCATCTTTAATATTGACCTTTCAGCAGTATGAATGAGTATATTATGTATAAGATTGCCACCAGTAGCCACTTCAGTAAGGGGGCTTCAGTGAGAATGTAGAGGTGACCAGTAGGGACATCTTCATACAAGAACAGTGTTGGGAAATGACAGAGGCTGCTTTGCTTGCTGCAGGCAGGTAACAGTATAAAAACTTTATCTCTTTGTCTGGGGTGACGTAACGTGTACATCTTTTTCATTTTAGTACTGACAGTACCAGCAACAGACATTGCTGAAGAAACTGTCATCAGTGAAGAGCCACCAGCTAAGAGGCAGTGTGTGGAAATAATCGAGAACCGGGTGGAATCTGCAGAAATTGAAGTAAGGAGCCTTTTACCCGGTGTGTTTTGCTGCAATCATCCAAAATGAATTGTTTCTTTTTTATCACTATCATTATCATTATTATTTGTCATTTATATTTATTACTGGCCATGTTTTGATAAGGAAAGAAAGTGAATAGTGTCATCATTTTGTTTTAACTTTTTGGTCTCATGCATATGGCAAGCCCTCAATAAATAAATATTGAATGAATGAATGAGCGAATTTGTTTGTAACAAAGTTTATTATGCTGGTAACATTTGGATTGTCTTTGGTTCTTGTTAAAATTACATATTCTTCAAGTCACTAAAGGACGATATTCTTTTAGACTGAAAATTCCTATCTTTCAAGAATGCTTCACCCTGATTGGCCTGGAAATCCCCTTACCGAAAGTTGATGGTTGCTAAACAGATTATGTTTGTAAGTGTGAAAGATAACTGATTATTTTACTAGCATGTCCTTTGAGGAGATTGAGTTCATTTAGACTACTGATAACATCTAGCCTTTTTCCTCTCCCAAACTCATTTGTTGGTGTAACAAATCATAATCTCTTAAATTTTTCTTACATGACTACAAATAAAATTCCATCTATCAAATGTATAATGTCTCACACAAAACATGATTCTTCCATAACCTTGAAAAGCAAATGCAATAGAAAGAGCTTTGAACTGGAAACTGCTCAAATTCTTGACCTGTCAGCTTTGAGTCTGGGTCTTATTTTCTCCCGAATTGGAATGTTGATGAATATTACTTCATTTTGGGGTTTTCATGAGAATGGGTAAAAATGGATAGAGTCAGCACCCCCTTTATCTTCACTGCATCTGATGTGTCTAAAGTTGATGATTGTTTAGCTGTTCTTGTCAAAGGCTCTGGTTATCACGGGGGGGGGGGGGTTGTTTTGTTTGGTAAATGAATGGCAACACAATCTTATTAAAGACAGCTAGAGTATATTCTCATGTATTTAAACAGCAGGCAGGTACATGGGCATAATCACAAGTATTGAACTGAACAGAGTCTAGTTATGAATAGAGTCTGTCTTAAAAGCACACACACATACACAACACACACAAAAGAATCTGGCTAGTGGTTTAATTTTAAGTTTTAGCTATTGAATATGATGTCTTATTTCCCAAAATTTAAAGTGACATCTATAGGACAGTTCTGATTTACAAACTAAAAACTTACTTTACTAAACAGTATCTTATTTCTTTCCTCACTTTTGTGTGTGTGTGATATATGTATGTGTGCATGCATGTGAAGGCCAGAGGTTGATTTTGGATGTCTCAGTCACTTTCTTCCTTGTTTTTATTTTTTCTTTTTAAAAATTAACTTTATTTTATGTGCATGAATATTTTGCTTGTATGTACGTATGCGCACCATGTGTGTTCCTGGTGTCTGCAGAGGCTAGGGTCATTGGAACCCTGAAACTGTGAGCCACCATGTGAGTACTGGGAACAGAACCCAAGTCTTCTGCAAGAGCAGCCAATGCACTTAACCTGACATTCATCTCCCCAACCTTCCACCTTGCGTTTTTGAGACAGGGTCCCTCGCTGAGCCTAGAGCTCACCAGTTCAGCTAGACTGGGATATGGGTTGAGGGGAGCAGCAAGCCTCATGGGTCCTCCTGTCTCTGCCTCCTCAGCACCTGTGATTACAAGTGTGCACCAGGCCCAGCTTTTTTTTTTTTTTTTTTCCCTGGAGACAGGGTTTCTCTGTGGCTTTGGAGGCTGGCCTGGAACTAGCTCTTGTAGACCAGGCTGGTCTCGAACTCACAGAGATCTGCCTGCCTCTGCCTCCCGAGTGTTGGGATTAAAGGAGTGTGCCACCAGCACTTGGCTCCATGCCCAGCTTTTTGCATGGGTCCTAGAGATCCAAACTCAGGTTCTCATTGTTGCACAGCAAACACATTACGGGCTGAGCATCTCCTCACTGCTAAGGTTCTCTTTATTATCCTTTTCTGATTGTTAGATGGTCTCTTTGGAGCACAGAAAGTGAAAAAAAAGTATTACTTTGTTTCTGTTATATAATAAAGCATTTAAATTAGTTGAATGCCATTAAATGTAAGTTTATTTAACTATTTACTTATTTGGTTTTTTGAGACAGGGTTTCTCTGTGTAGTCCTAGCTGTCCTGGAACTCACTCCATAGACTAGGCTAGCCTTGAACTCACAGAGATCCACCTGCTTCTGCTTCTCAAGTGATGGGATTAAAGGTAGGCACCACCACCACCACCAGCTAACAGTTTTTTTAAACAATAGTGATTTTAGCCAATGGCTTTATTTATTAATGACTGGCATGCCTGTTTCCTTCCAAGTCCAGCCTGGTTCCTTTTCTAGTCTTCCAGAGATAAGAGGATGTAATTCCAGGTAAACAAGAGAGTAGGAATTAAGGTGCACTAATTAAGTGGAACCAAGAAGTAAGCTTTAAAGAGATTGGGCTTAATTTGGTATAAAGAACAGTGGAGTTTGGTGTTTGTTTTGTTTTCAGTAGGACTTTCTGGTAATGGAAATCTTTCTTTCTGTCACTGGAAATGCTTAAGACAAGGCTGTGTGACCTCCTAGAGTTTGATACATAGACTAAGAAAAGGTGGAGGCCTGGAGTCACAGGATAAGGATGTGACGTCCAGTGTTCATGTCAGACCAAGTAACTTTTCCTATAACACATGATGACAATAGAATTATCTTAGGAGCAAGCTTTTATGCAGCTTAGATGACATCTTGGCCAAACTTTAACTCCAAAAGTTTTTGTAAAACTGATCCTCAGGTGGGGAGATTCTGACCCTAAGGGATATTTGGTAATGTTTAGAAATTAGAAACATTGTTGGTTGTCACATCTGTGAGTAGGGGCTAGGTTGGCACACTGTGACACCCAGGACATCATATAATAATTTATGCCATTCAAGAATATTAATAATGATTAGATTTTAAAAAAGATACACATAAAAGTTTAACTCATGCACAAGTTTTCACAGGGCTTTCTCTGTATTGTGCTCACAGATAAAAGAGTGACTGTAAGAATTTTCTTTTTTTTTTTGTTTATTGAGACAGGGGTTCTCTGTAGCTTTGTAGACCAGTCTGGCCTCGAACTCACAGAGATCCGCCTACCTCTCTGTCTCCTAAGTGCTGGGATTAAAGACGTGCGCCACTAATGCCCAGCTAAGAACTACATTTATAAAAATGAGGTCATTTATCTCATTTGGACAGTTGATTTTTATTTGCAAGCAAATAGCTCAGATAGATACCTGGCCTAGCTTTTCTCCTTAAAAATTGGGACTTGAAGCTGAAGGGACAGATCAGCAGTTAAGAGCACTGGCTGCTCTTGCAAAGGACCTGAGTTCACTTTCCAGCCCCTGCAAACAGCTCACAACTGTTGCAGGGGATCTGACACCTCTAGTCTTCACAGGCACCAGTACTGAAGTGCATCCACCCCATACACACATACACAAAAATAAAAGTAATTAAAAAATAAATCTTTAATACCTGCCAAGGGAGATACCATAATCATGAAGCTATTTTTCCCAAGGCAAGGCTCATCCATTGTGGTGTGGATGTGCTGACTTCTGTGATTTCTCCAAATGTGGACGATTTGGCATAAATTTTGGTTGTGGGGACTGAATTTACACGCTCAAACTACCTGTAACTCCAGCTCCAGGGGATCTGACAACTTCTGGCCATATAGATACTTGCACTCTCATGCATACAACCCTACACAGACACCTAAGTACCACATAATTAAAAATAAAACTGTGTTGTGTGTTGGGCTGGCAAGGTGTCTCAGCAAGTAATAATTGCCATGCATGCCTGGTGACTGAGTTTGACCCTTGAAACCCATGTAAAGGTAAAAGGAGAGAATCTGCTCTACAGAGTGAGTAGTCCTCTGACCTCCACACAATGCCCACAAACACATTATATACACACAGCAATAGTAATAACAATAACTTAAAATTTAAAAACATACCTAATTGTTAGTTAGGGATATGGGCTTGGACTTAACTATAGGTTTGAATTTTCTGATATTTTGAGTGTGTGACCTTGGCCTTTTTGCCATTTTAAGTCGTAGCCTCTACATCAAGATGACAGAAATTGAATAATATCAGCAATTGATTGCTTTGAATATTAAGTGAAAGAAAGACTGGAGTGGTGGTGCACACCTTTAGTCCCTCTTGTGAGTTTGAGGCTAGCCTGGTCTACATAGTAAATTCCAGGCCTGACAGAGCTACATCGTGAGATTCTGTCTCAAAGAAAAGAAAAAGATGATATGAGGATAAATACAGAATAAATACAATGGTGACATATAGTTAATTCTCAGAAAGTCATATTTATTAACAAGATTACACTAAAATGTATGTTGAGGCAGAAGATAAACTATTATAATTGTGTCTTTCAGTGTATAATAGAACAAATATATAAATTTGAGTATTAGAAATTTATATATTAAAATGGTCAAATTGTTCCACACCATTGCTTTTAAGGCAGAATTAGAGGATCACCTTTGAAAATCAAAAGAGCTGAAATCTGCTGCCTTAAGGTTGTTACCTAATATACTAACTCAGGGTTATGGTGTATCTTGTTGCAGTCAATCTTGATTCTTGCTAGGGTTTAGTTTTCTTAGAGGTCTATGATGTTAGACTTCTTTTCCTGCAGTGCTGGAATTTGAATCCAGAGCTACCTGCATGCTGAGCAGCTACAACCCATCCCTAGAACAGTACTTTAGCATCACATATTAACTGATTAAGTTATTGTTTCATGAAAATATCAAAATTGGAGACTGGAGAGATGGCTAAGAGCACTGGTTCTATTTTTAGAGGATCCAAGTTCAATTCCCTGCACCAACATGGCAGCTCACAATAATCTGTAACTCCAGTTCCAGGAGAGCTGATGCCCTCTTCTGGCCTCCTTAGGCACTGCACACTTACGGTGCATAGGCACACATGCAGGCAAAACACCTGCACCAGTTTACATAGAATAACACAGTAATATATCAAAATTGGGCCAACAAGATGGCTCAGCAGGTAGAGGTACTCACTGCAAGCCTGGCACCTTGGGTTTGATCCCAAGTCTGTGTAAGGGTAGAAGGAAAAAAACTAACCCCAGAAAGTTTTCTCTGATCACATATATGCCATAGCACATGAGCACACACAAACTCACAATAAATATTAAAAATGTAAAAATCCACAGGATTAGCATTTATACTTAAATAAAAATGTCAGCTGTCAGCCTGTTGTACTATTAATGTGTGAAACACTGCTATATGAAGAAGCTGTCTTTCGTGAAGTATGTTTAGTAACTATCACATCAGAAACAAAGATCTCCGGTAAAATAAATAACATTTTCCATTTCTCAGACTTTTATTTGCTTTGAAAACTGAGATGGCAAACAAGTTCTCATTCCATATTCCTGCATTTCTGAGAAGTCAAAGGTACAATACTAAAAGTCTGTATCTTAATCATATATTCAGCATATTCAACAAATATTGAGGGTCTTTGTCTTTACATTTTACAGATTTAAACAAAACAATGCAGCTGAAGTGAGTATAGCTTATTTGGTATAGTAGGTGAAAGGGAGTTATTACTGTAATTGTATTAAAATTTATTTTACTTACTGCTCAGTGGTTGAATACTTGCCTAGCCTAGAATGTGTAAGCTGCATGGTGTGTGTGTGTGTGTGTGTGTGTGTGTGTGTGTGTGTGTGTGTGATTAAAATGAGTTAAGGAAGATAGGATTAAACCATTTCACCTTTACAGTATTTGTCTCACTCCTTTGCTTTTGTTTTCTGCAGTGATAGTAAACTCCTTGCAAATGCCCAGGTGTTAATAAATAGCTAATACTAGATGATCCCTTACAGTTAGTTCATTCTAATACTTCCTATGTAATTGGAAATTTTATATATATTCAAGACATTGACTGTCAAAAAGATCTTTTTAATACAGGGAGACTTAAAAAAATATTGATTTCATTCTTTTTTTAGTGATGTATATGTGTGTGTCATAGTGCTGGTGCCTGGTGAGCTCAGGCATTAGATCCTCCTGGAGCTGGAGGGAAATTATGGAATGCTTCTTGAGTGTGTATGCTGTCCTTACACTAGAGCTGTGCTAATCTCTGGATCGTTCCAGTTTTAGTGTATGTGTTGCCAAAGCAAACTAAGCCTGCTCTTCCCAGAAGTAGGTCTTGCTCCTAGGGAACCACAACTAAGCCCTCCCCTTCACCTCTACCCCTGATCATTGGCAAGCTCAAAGTCCTACATAGGTCACGGCCAGTGCCAATGTTCATAGCCTCCCTGAGGCTCAATTCTTAGATGTTTCCAGCTTTATCTTTCCGGGTGCCATCTTTTCTAGCATTATGGAAAGGTCTAAGAGAAGGGAAACAGCAATGCAAGGTATTAGGATAGGGACTGGGTATTGCTGAAACTGGAAATAAAGGGCATTCCTTTTGTGGACTTCTCAGTCACTCCCATATCTGCTGCAGCCATAGGAATCTGAAAAATATTAAGTCTAACTTCATTCTTAGTATAGGACAGTGGGTGGGAGCATAGGGATGTGGGGGAGGGGGAGCTGCTTGTTCCTCCTGGTAGGAGCAACTGAGCAGTAAAGCAGAGGTAGTCTTTGGGTGCTTAAGATGAGCTGGTGTTGGGAGGCAGTGGCTATGTAGGAGGAGACCCTCAGACTGTCCTCAAGGACCTCCCTTGCCTTCTGCTCCCTCTGGGCATGTGTGTTGCTCGGTGTAAACCTGACCTTTTCTGCAACTCATAGTTATGTTCTGGCCCCTCCCTCACTAGCAGGTCCATAGGTCTTTGTGATGAGGTTAACTCATTCCTAAAACAGGAAACTTCCCTAAGCCTAGGCCTGTGTAGGTTAGGTTTTCTTCATGTGCTTTCTTCAGGTATACACAAGGGTTCTTTGAAGTGTGGGTCTCGTTTTTTTCCTTGATAATAGAGGTGCAGTGAAGAGAAAAAAAAAAGTATACTTATTTTCATTGGACTGGGTTTGTATATATTGGCTCTTAATAACTGAGCATTTAAGTTTTTATACCTGTTGTAACAGTAGAAGGTTGCTAGAGAGAGTAGCCTTTTATGGACTGCCCACTGTTTGACTTTGCAAGGCCAGACCAGCAGCCATTGTGATGGAGTTTAGGTATTTTGCTTGGTGGTGTAGAGGAGCGTGGGTTGTTTTGAAATTAGTAACATCTGAAACCCATAAACCCAATTCTCATGGTGTTTTGTGGAAGGTGACATCATTTCTGAGCATTACTATTCTCGTTCAAAGCCTGACACGTGAGAAAGCGAGCCATGGGATTGCCTTTGCTCAGCCCTGTGGTAGGTGCCCAGCTGTGTTGATTGTGATCTGAGTAGAGATAAGGGGTGTGCTTATATAATTCCCTTTTAAGTCTTCTAGTACTTTCTTCAGTACATACAGAAGTACAGGTGCACATTTTGTGTTCACCCTATTCTTACAAAGTAGAAATAATTTTCTTGAAATTAGAGAATAATCTCCATCTCGTAATACAGAGGAGAAAACTAAGGGTTACTTGTAAATCGGTTGAAAAGGTAAAAAAGTCTTGGAGGTACCAGTAGGCAACTGCTGTGGCCACTGCACAGTGTTTTGTCTGTCTGTCTATCTTTTTTTTTTGAGGGGTACATAACTATGTTAATATATTTGTGCAGAAATTGAACACGACTTTTCTTTTCTAAATTAGGAGAGAGAAGCGCTTCAGAAACAGCTGGATGAGGCAAACCGTGAGGCGCAGAAATACCGGCAGCAGCTACTCAAGAAGGAACAGGAGGCAGAAGCCTACAGGCAGAAGCTGGAGGCCATGACGCGCCTCCAGACCAACAAAGAAGCTGTCTAGCCACCGAGAACAGGAGTTTGGTTTTACCTTTTGTCCAGAATGATGCAGTCTTGGACTGTACACAGTAAGGACACAGCCATGGAATACCGAATAATAGAAAATGATAATGGGACTTAAGCCACGAGCTCTGAATTCTTGTAATATAAAAAAAAAAAAACTTTAGAACTTGTGAAGTGTATTTAAAACTGAATTCTGTAAATAGTTTTTTGGTTGTTTCTTTTTTTACAGTTACAAATGAGTTGGTAAAGATTGTTGAGGAGATCCCAAAAAACCACAGTAAGGCACTGTTACAGGCAATTCTTGATTTGGGTACAGACTTCATTTCTGAGAAACAGAAGTTTTAAGGGTGGTTGTTGTCGGTTAGACCAAATGTGTAATAATTATGGTGGACTGATGCTGGAAATAACTCTGCAAAGAGATTTCTCCCAGGAACTTTTGTACAGCTTTTAAGTTGTCTCAGGTTCTCTGAAAACATTTTTTAGGAAGCAGAAATTTTATATTTGTTCAATTTCAGCTACACGCAAGTAGATTTACATGTATATGAAGCAAATATTTTTAAAATTTTGTTTGTACATATTCTGCATGTTTTATGATTTTAAAACGCATCACTTGCTTAGATATGTTTCCCACAAAGACGATGAAAGTTACCGAGAAATATAAAAGGCACCACTGTTGTTCTTTTGGTCACCGAAAGTTAGTGAGCTAGCATTGATTTTACTGGCAACCATGACAATGTTCTTGGAAGGAGCAGCTTGCAAGAGAACTTGAATCTGCAAAAAATCTATGCTTTTTGGAAAATGCCATTGTGGGGACGTGAGACTGCATTCTGTGCCTTCCATCATGATTTCCACACGAGCACTTTGAGGCGCTGGATTTTAAGATAATGTTTTTGGCAAACTCAGTGCATTTGGGTTTCTGAAATATTTCATGGACTTACTCCCCCTCCCCAAGAAATTATTCTTATGGAAAATTGCTTTTGTATGTAGAACAGGAACTTTTTGTACTCAGTGATGCTATAGATACGTCTAATGTAACTTTCGCTATTCCCCGTGAAAGCTCCAGGCCTGTGTTGCAATTTAGTCTCATCACAATGTTGTCAGTTCCACAGTGTGTGAACATTCGACAGACTATTCCATTCTTTTTTTTGTAAAGTGTAACTTCAAGCTCTTTATATTTTTTTGTTTGTTTTATTGCTTTTTGAAAATGTTTAACCCCAAATCTACTCTAGATTATCTGTATAAAGAACCAATTACCTTGAAGACTGTACTCTGGCCTCCTTTTCTATTTTACAATTAAATAACTTTCCACATATGCTCAGTGCAGACTTGTGTTTTGACTGTATATTCTTCACACATCAAAATGTGGATGATAGCCGGGCGGTGGTGGCGCACGCCTTTAATCCCAGCACTCGGGAGGCAGAGGCAGGCGGATCTCTGAGTTCGAGGCCGGGCTGGACCGACAGCCTCCAAAACAATACAGAGAAACCCTGTCTCATAAAACCGAAAAAAAAAGAAAAAAAAACAAAAAAAATGTGGATGATAGAACTTGGTGGTGGAGCATGTCGGCGCTTTTAGACTGTGGTTCAAACCCTGGCACACACAGAATCTGAGCTACGTTTTGCTGTATGAAAACAATGAGATGCTTCATGCCTTAAACTCCAGAGTGATTCCTTGAGAATGTAATGGTTCTGTCACCCAGGTTATCCTTACAGAAGGTGATGTAATAAAAGGCTCTGGAGGGAGCCTCAGCCTGATCTTGTTGCTTTTCTGGAGAGCAGAGCTTGAAGCCCCTTGACAAATATGAAAAGCTGTAAGGAAGAGAATTTGACATTCAGTTTATTCATTTTGAAATGTAGCCTCACTTCCAGTCTGGTCTCCAACTCATGAATTCTGGTGACCTTCCCACGTCAGCCTACTTAGTTCTGGGGAATATAAGCATATGCTACTACACATGTGTAGGCAGAGTTTTCCTGTCCAGACTGCCTACTCCCAAAAAGCTGGTAGCCTCTTCCCGAATAATCAGAGACTTAATATAAATTATAAATGCTTGGTCAATAGCTCAGGCTTGTTACTAGCTGACTCTTACACTTAAATTAACCCATGTTTCTTCTCTATGCTTTGCCGCGTGGCTCATGGCTGTTACCTCATTTTCTATACCTGCTTCTTCTGTGGCTGGCTGGCATCTCCTCTGACTCCGCCCTTCTTCCCAACATCCTCAGTTTGATTGCCCCACTTATATTTCCTGCCTGGCTATTAGCCAATCTGCGTTTTATTAAACCATTTCAAGTGACAAATCTTTACAGGGTACAACAGGGTTATTATTCCACAGCACACTCGGCTTTGACAGACAGAGATCTCTGGTGACCTAGCTAGTCCTGAACTTTTGAATTCAGTTGATCCTCCACCATCTTTTCATAAATGTTAAATGATCTATAGGGCCTATAGCTCAGGGGTAGAATGCTTGCCTAATATACATGAGGCCTTGGGCTCAGTCTCCAGCATGTCAAAAGCAAAATGGATAAAGCTGAGTTTAAAAAATTAGAAGTCAGGTTTCATCATGAAGCTGCTTGCTCTTCAATCATAAGTTACTGGGGAACGTGTGGTTTGGGTTTGTGTAGTAATTAATGTTAAGCAGAAGTCTGGTGCACATTTAATTGTTTGGCAGGCAGTGTTGGGACAGAGGGGCTACTGTATTCAGGGATTGGCCAGTGCAGTTTTTGTCCCAGATCAGATTTGCTCTGAAAAGCCTCAAGGTGGTGACAGAAAACACATCTTCAAGCTGATGCATGCTGCTTTTCCTCCTGGAGAGAGTGGTACAGTATGTAATTCTGATCTCCAATAATAACAGCAAGGCAACTGGTGTGAGAAAGCAATGGGTTGTGGCATATCAGGGTTCCGAATAATGGCTTTGAGATGTTCACTATTTTCAGAGTCTCAATCTTCATCTGATTCACTGTGCTGAGAAAGCAATACTTAGACAAGAATCTGTAATGGAAACAAGGTGCTCCACACCCCTCTCTTGTTTCTTCTAATTTTAACAGTTTTCAGGTGGGTTGGGAAACAAAGCCTCAGTGTTCTTCTGTACTGAGGACTAAAGTAACTGACAAAATATGAAATAAAACATTTTCAGAAATCTAGTTGTTTCCAGTAAACAATAATGGGGTTGCGATCAGCTGTTGGCTGCTTGCCAAGCACTGACTCTTCCCACTTGTGTAAACAAGTGCCTGAGACCAGCCTTTGTCTGCTGGAGTCTGTGCAGCAAGGAAGCCATTGAGTGTAGGGTCTTAATACGTTCTG